CTTACCTCTTCAAGGGGCGCATTCCCACTTCTTTCACCTATTCCGTTGATTGTTACTTCGATATGTCTTGCTCCCGCACAGATAGCCTGTTAGGATCCCACATCGGAAAAACAAACAAAGGACCAATACTAATATAAATATCAACTCATTTTTTATATGTATGCGAATAGTTTATTTTTTATATGTATGTTAATAGAAGAAAAAGGAGATTTAATTGAGTAGTACGGATAATGTGTTGGCGGTAGCAACACCAAGGTCGTTGTGACAGTGAATGCCGAAGACACATTCATCCATTCCAGGAGTGTTTGCTATGACGTAACTCACGAGTTCTCCAATTTCAACAGGCATGTTGATCCCTACCGTGTCCGCGATGCCAACCGTGGTTGCACCCGCTTTTATCCCTTCTCCTAGAATCTTGCATAGGAACTCTTTCTCCGACCTATTCAATTTTTAAACACACACTATATAGTATTTCAAAAATCTAACTATATATGACATGATCAAAAAGTATGCAAAGTTCATTACTACATGATTGTTTGAAATGTCCAACTTATGTTTTGTCTACATGTGAAAGCTTGTTTTCATAAAAGTTTTAACATTTTTTTTAATTTTAGCAACAAGCATTTTTTTAGTTTTTAATCTAAAAATAATCAAATATAAACGCAAATACACATTTAGTAACAAAATATTTAATTTGTAATGTAAAAACTAAACGAACGCAAACAAACAATCGAGATATATCAAGGTTTAAAGATATTGACCTGCCGCCATCTTCGCAACCAAGTTGGATGTCTTTGAAGCCTAAGCTTTTAGCAAACTTAACACTACTTACGGCCATCTCGATGACCTCTTCTTTAGTCTTTTTCAATTTATATTTCATATGAATGTCACTAGTAGATGCGAATATGATTACCCTCGGCCTCTTCGCGTACTTCACTGACCCCCAAGCGGCCTCAATGTCGCTATGTTTGCATCGTGCGATGACAGCTATAACGGGGACGTAACCTGTTTCCTCATCCACCTAAGCAAGACACGATCACATGTTTACGTTGTTAACTATATTCATTTGTGCGTATATACTCTTTGCTCAAAAAGTATGCACGTATTCGTTCAAATTTGATCAAACGGTAACTATATATAGTTTGAACATAAGAACTTTATT